TTACACACAGACACTTTTACACACAAAAGCTTTTACACACAAACGCTTTTGCACACGGCACTTTTACACACAGACACTTTTACACACAGACGCTTTTACACACAGACGCTTTTACACACAGACCCTTTTTCACACAAACACTTTCACACGCAGAAGCGTTTACACACAGACTCCTTTACACACAGGCGCTTTTACACACAGAAGCTTTTACACACAGAAGATTTTACACAAAAACAAAACTTTCACACACAGACGCTTTTACACAGAGGCTTTTACACAGAGGCTTTTACACACAGACGGTTTTACACACAGACGCTTTTACACACAGACGCTTTTACACACAGACACTTTGAAACACAGACGCTTTTACACACAGACGCTTTTACACACAGAGGCTTTTACACACAGACGCTTTTACACAGACACTTTGACACACAGACGCTTTTACACACAGACGCTTTTACACACAGACACTTTTACACACAGAGGCTTTTACACACAGAGGCTTTTACACACAGAGGCTTTTACACACAGACACTTTTACACAGACGAAAGCGTTACGATTGACCAAGTAAAATCGCATTTTTTCCTCAGCTTTTGACGTCCAACGTCCATTTCGTGCGTAACGGTTGCGATTGAATAAGTAAAATCGCAATTTTTCCTCAGTTTTTGACGTCCAACGTCCATTTCGTGTGTAAGGGTTGCGATTGACAACTCAAAGTCGCAATTTTTCCTCAGTTTTTGACGTCTAACGTCCATTTCGTGCGAAAGGGTTGCGCGGGACGCTTCAAAGTCGCAATTTTTCCTCAGTTTTTGACGTCTAACGTCCATTTCGTGCGAAAGGGTTGCGCGGGACACCTCAAAGTCGCGACTTTTCCTCAGTTTTTGACGTCCAACGTCCATTTCGTGTGAAAGGGTTGCGCGGGACGCTTCAAAGTCGCAACTTTTCCTCAGTTTTTGACGTCCAACGTCCATTTCGTGCGAAAGGGTTGCGCGCGACCAATAAAAGTCGCAATTTTTCCTCAGTTTTTGACGTCCAACGTCCATTTCGTGCGAAAAGGTTGCGCGCGACCAATAAAAGTTGCAATTTTTCCCCAATTTTTGACGTCCAACGTCCATTTCGTGCGAAAGGGTTGCCGGGGACGCTTCAAAATCGCAATTTTACTTAGGTTTTGGACGTCCAACGTGCATTTCGTGCGAAAGGGTTGCGTTTCGTGGCGCTCCGGCGGCACCGCCCCCGCCTTAAGAGAGAATAGAAGAAGAGCGAGAGGAGATCTGCAGATGTGAAGGTGTGAAGATGTAGATCGGCAGATGTGAGAGTGTGAAGATCTAGATCTGCAGGTGTGAGGGTGTGAAGATCTAGATCTGCAGATGTGAGGGTGTGAAGATCTAGATCTGCAGGTGTGAGGGTGTGAAGATCTAGATCTGCAGATGTGAAGGTGTGAAGATCTAGATCTGCAGATGTGAGGGTGTGAAGATCTAGATCTGCAGGTGTGAGGGTGTGAAGATCCTGATCAGATGCAGATGTGAGGGTGTGAAGATCTAGATCTGCAGGTGTGAAGGTGTGAAGATCTAGATCTGCAGGTGTGAGGGTGTGAAGATCTAGATCTGCAGGTGTGAGGGTGTGAAGATCTAGATCTGCAGATGTGAGGGTGTGAAGATCTAGATCTGCAGGTGTGAGGGTGTGAAGATCTAGATCTGCAGATGTGAGGGTGTGAAGATCTAGATCTGCAGGTGTGAGGGTGTGAAGATCTAGATCTGCAGGTGTGAAGGTGTGAAGATGTAGATCAGCAGATGTGAAGGTGTGAAGATGTAGTATAACGGCTGCTTTTTTACGAAGAACCCTTCGCAGGCGCTCTCGGGAAAAAGTGGCAAACAAGACTTTAAAAAATGGCTCAAGTACAATGTTTTGGGGCCCTAGAAAAGCGACCCATTTGTGTCCCAAAAAGCGGCCCCAGAAACCAGGGATGCTTTCATTTTCAACCAAAAAAGGGTTCAAAAAAAGCGACCCGGCTTTTGTGCCCATTCTTGCCTTGTCCCGCAAAATGCTGGGATCCACTGTGTCAGCTGACCGCAGGCATGCCCTGCGAACACCCCACCGAGCCCGCCAACGAGCAGCCCATTTGTTAACAGTCCTGCGGCGAGGCTGTCCACAAGGTTCCACCTGAAGCGCCTTGTTCTCATAGTAATGAAACACATCTGCCGCTGATGGTGCCACGCCTTGAGAAAGGTTTTGACGCTTCACCCAACACCAAGCATCGTGTTCCAGGAGGAACTGCCGTGCAAACTTTCGGGCAGGTCCCCAAAGTGCTGAGCCTTCATCATGTAACATCAAAAAGTCCTCCCAATTGTGGTTACGAAAGAGAGCTCTGACAAAATCTGATGTTGGAAATGCTGCAGAACATTGGGGTAATCGGGACAGCCGCTGTGCCGCTCGCAGAGCCAAACTCAAATCCCAGTTTGACAAAGCATAGACGGCCAAAACTTTTCGCTCAGAGTGGCAAGAAAGGCCGCCTTTGAGCAGCGAGGCAGCTTCTCTGCGAGATTGCTGCTGGCAATTTCGTATGTGCCTTTGGTTCAGCAGAAGGGCTGCTCGGAGTTCTGTCACCTTCTTCTCTGCCAAGCAGGCCGCGGCTTCGGCGGCGACTGACATGAGTAAAGGATCTACTGAAACTGTCTGGCTGAAGGTTTTGCTATACCTATATGATATGTATTGTAGCATGAGTTTACATGGCTTGTCTCCTGTTGCTATCTATTTTTGAACCTGCTTTGAGAACAATAGGTACGCCGTCTTCTACAACCCTGCTGCTTTGAACCATTCTGATTCATACAGCCGGAGCAGAGCTGCATTTTGAAACGTGACAACAGTGGGCCCAGCACAGCAAACGCTCAATAGCATGCCAACCCTGCCAACCATGGCTATGACATAAGAGGAATTGTTGGAAACAAAAACACTTGAGGAATGAACTCTAGTGACTGCAAATGAATCGGAAATCGGTGGCACCCCTGGCTGCAACTACAGTGATGTGGAGACAGAGACACACACACAGTATATATATATATGCATACAGAATAATCAATAGATATGAATGTGGATAGATGATGGATCTGGATACATAATATACGGATTGATACATGGATTACACATTATATATGTAATATATCATAGTCAGGACACATTTGCTGAATGCAGCAAAGCCGCAGTTCTATTCCTGTGCCTTCTGGCCGCTCAAACCACATGGAGTCAACGATTGCCTTGCGAAGTAGGTTTTGTCCAAGAGATGCCAGAGCAGCAGAGTGCAGAGTGCATGGAATGTTGGCTTTCACTACACTCGATGTGGTGATGTGGTGTTTCAAAGCGTTGTTTGGAGATATGAGGAAGGTATGAACATGTATAAACAAGGCATAAACAACCAGCAACAGAATACAATGCTTACAACAAACCTCTTGTTGTGGCATGATCACAGGCTGTAAGCTAGCAACGCTAGCTGAATTCTTGAGCCGAATTGCGCTGATCTAGACTTTTGACGACCTTTGTTCGTCGTGACAGATCAAAGTCGGCTCGGTCTCAGCAGAACAGTTGCGATGACATCGATGCACTTTCTTGGAAACATGTCTGAAATATGTTTGGACATCTTTTGCATTGATTTTGTGGACAACAGAGGCTGTCCAGCTTTAGAACTTTGATGTCGAGACCGGGCAGGGATCTGGCTAGGGCTCTGCGAACTTGTAGTCAGACTTGATGTCTTGGGCTGTCCAAGAAAGGGCACTATGGCTTTCGCCATGCGACATGTTGCTTTCATGAGTTCACCATGGACCTTATGATATCTTACAATCAGAAATCTGCCAGATGACCTAGGATGGATATAGGATGAATATATAAATTATATATAATATAATATAAATATATATTTAGGATCAATAAAGCATGGCAGGCAACCTTTCCCATATGCCACAAAGCTCGCCACTGGAGGTTTGGACCCCAATCCCGTGCGCAAGAGATGTACGCACGCGCCGGGCGTGAATTTCGGCTTGCGGGCATTTTCGACAGCAATCCTTTGCTCAAATTGTGAAGTGAGGTGACCATCTCACGTTTTGTGCATTTCTTCGTTCCAGTATCCCGGGCCGTAGCTGGGAGCTATGTGGTTTGACACTGATCTTTGGCAATTTTTTGGCCAGGTTAGCAAGATCACCACAGCAAAAACCTGCCTCCACTGCGCCCTCTCGCTAGCCCTTTCTAAGTTCCTCACTGTCGGGATCATTGTTTCCCAGATTCAACTTAAGATGAACTTGTTCGAAGGGCAGAAGCATCCCCTTGAAGTCGGTGTATGGGTCAGAATTGAGTACCTCAGAAACGGATGGTTGATACTGATACTACTTGTGGTGCCAAGAAATAACACATATGGTATCACTTCATATCATGTGATAATCTATGACTATCTATGTCTATCTTCCATGCAGCTCCAAAAGTTGCGGCAGCTCAAAAGGTAGCGGGATACTTCTGGCAAGCCTTAGCCGCTTTAGCCCTCTGCGGCTATCAATATCCCTACATTGATTGAAGAATTCGATCAATTTGCCGTGGGCGAATTTCTTGTCATAATGCGTTCCTTTGAGAGCGACACGGATTGATATGGGTTGATGATGCACGAGTTTTGTTTGGATTTCTTTTGGTTTCCTCTTAGGAATTCTAACGGGATTGATTCTGTGGTTGGTCATCGAATTTTCGGACGCGCATTTGGCAGTTCTTGAATCTTCGTTCCTCGGTGCTGGATTTATTGCGCGGGTTTTCCAGATTGTACTTGGCGCGAGAAAAAGCTGAATGACTGGGTCATACTCCTAGCACTTTTAAGCAGTTTTGTTTTGACATGTTAAGAACTGGATTTTGAACATACCATGACAGCCATGACGTACCCTAAACTCCAAACATGTTTCATTCAGAGAGCTCCTTTGGTTTGTGTTCCATTTTGTCTTGACACTTCCTCTCAGCCACACTGCCGCCTCAGAGCAGTTGCCCGTATTTCTTTTTCCATCGGAATCTTAGCCACGCGGCAGAAGATTTTGATGCAAATGCTCAGCTATGGCCGGCTAGCTTGATCTAGCTTGCGCCTTAGTCATTTTCAATCATTTACATGAGAGAAAAGGAGTTTCCAAGAAACCACAGAGCTGCGGAGTTTGTGAGTTTTGACTCTTACAGCTTTGCAGCTGCGCTGTCCCGGTTGAGTCACAAAACCAAGGAATCTTTGAGATGCTGCATTGCAGATGGCCGTTGAATCGCGTGAGAGGCGTCTTCAAAGCACATCCAGAACTGCCGAGTCGATCAAACAGACATTGCTTAATTCATAGCTTCTAATTTGGCGTGCCGCCTGCGCTTCACCGAAGGAACTTCCCGACTTCCACGGTCAGTTGTGCCTTGGAAAGATTTGGAAAGATGTTTGCCGATCTTTGGAGTTTGTTCTGACACGGAAATATTGAAATACTCCAGCAATCTCTAGCGCTTCTCAGCTTGACGCTTTGTGTTTTTTCCTTGGCAGTCGACCTTGAATCCCTTTTTTTCTGCAGCGTTGTGCATGCCAACATGCCAAGGTACAACGAAGTGTATGGAGCCGTACTCGAGAGGCCCTATGCATCCCTATGAGCAGTTGCCGTAGCAATTTACTTGGCCGATCTCGGCCGTATTTTATGCTGACATGGCGACGTTGACTTTCCACATTTCACATATTTCACATTTTGCTGAGCTGATGGTCTGCTAATGTCTTCCAGTGTCTTCCAGGAGATTTCCATGACTTGTACTCCGCTCCAGGAACGTTACCACCGCCTGCAGCGGGAGATTCGGCACTTAGGTGAAGTAGCTGATCTGGAAGATTTGAAAACACAGGCCAGCATCACCAATGATCATGATGGCTTCATGACTGTTTGGACATCTTTGGACATGTTTGGAGGATTTTCGGATACTTCCTATGTCATAGTATGTCCAATCTTGATGATTGAATCTCAGCCAACCTTGGTAATTGCAGGTGCCCAAAGCTTGGCATGCGGTTGAGAAGTTTTTGGATCCCTGTGATGCTGAGGACTGGATAGCCTGGGCCAAATATAAAGCAACTGATGTTGTATCATAATTTAAGGGCTGCCGCCCCTGCCGCCGACCCCGGAAGAATGGTCAATGAATCAAACCAAATTGGCATAAATATTCTTCGGTGCTTCGCACTTTCAGGTTTTCCCCTTTTTCATATGTATATTTTTATGAAATATATTTGATATGTTTGAATGAAATATATTTGATAAAATATTTTGATATAGTACGAAAACCCACCCACCAAACCCCTTCACCCCCCTGAGCAGTTCCTCGACGACTTCAACCAGAGTGTGGGTCTTGAGCTCGTGAATTATTATATAAATAAATAAACCTTCCCATTTACCCCCCCCTTTGTGGCAAGGTGTTGTGTTGTTCCGTGGCAAGGCGCAGACACGAAATAAAACACACAGGCATCCATTATGTCCGGCACTAATGGTTCAGGTATCCTATGCAATGGGGATTGTTGGTGTCCAAAAAGGATATGGGAAAATACGATGGCTGGACATGCTTGGCCATCGTATTTTCCCACGTTATTTTTGGGGGATTTGGGAGCGAGGGTTTGCTGATCTTCTTGAGCAATTAATTAGGTATTTAGGATTTTTCAGTCTTCATAATCAAGTATGATAAGAATCCGTTGGTATGCATTCACCTTTATCACTTTTAAAACTATGATAAATATAATCACAACGAATCCCATTATATATACGGTGGCAAGGCACATACTAGCTACAGCGCAGAGTATGCATAGCATGTTTTTTTTTTGTACTAATGGTTTGAACAAGGTGTATATAGTTTTCAGGCCAAGTGTTTTTGCTATTACTAGGTGCTCTTTGTGCAGTTTCTTCATGCCTATTCCTACTTATCATTTCACAATTCCTTTTATCAGTGGTCTAGGTGTCCAAGTGTCCAAGTTTGTCCAAAGTCTTGTCCAGATACTGCTTCTGCTTTGTCTCATAAGGCCCGGAAAATACGGTTGAAACATAAGCAATTAATCAAGCTTAAAGGTGCTGTATAAGCGCCTTGTGAAAGGGTGCTGTAGAAGCGCCATATAAAATGGTGCTGCACAAGCGCCATTTACATACGGATCTATTCCAGTGGTTGAACTGGACCACCTCTTTGTTTTTCATTTTGTTTTCCAGTATTTTTTCCTGTTTGTATCTTAAATGAAACCCTAGAGAGAGCCGAGGTTTTAGGTGAAACCTAAAGAAATCTGAAAGAAATCCTGATAAGAACCCTACATGAAACCCTAAAGGAACCCTAAAGAAGCTATAAATTACCCCTGCAGAAACCACAAATAAAACCGCACAGAAACTTTAAGTGATAATTACCTCAAATGACATCCCAAAGAAATCCTATATTATACTTTGAACAAAAAACATCAAATGAAACCTGAACTGAAACCCTTGAAAAACCGTAACGAAACTCGAAACGAAACCTTAAATTCAAACCCTAAAGAAACCCTAAATGAAATTCCAAATGAAACCTTAAAGAAACCCGAAACGAAATCCTAAAGACACCCCGCTGAAATCCTAAATGAAACCCTTACTGAAATCCTAAAGAAGCCCTAAAGAAGCCCACTTGAATATTTAGAGATCGTGAAAAGAAATCCTGAAAAGGAACCCAGGTATGAAACCCTAAGGAAAGCTTCAATGAATTCCTGAATGAACCCTTACGTGAAACCCGAAAGAAACCCTAAATGAAACTGTAAATGAAGCCCTGAATGAAGGTCCAAATGAAACCCAAAACGAAACTGTAAATGACACCTCCATCAATCCATAACAATGCGATGTTTCTTCCGTGGGGTCTGCCCGAGAAACCCCAATTTGACTTTTCGTCCAGGCGTTTCAGCTTCATCGTTGTAGTTTCATATATAGTAAGTCCCAAAAAAGGATGGAAACAAGAACCTACCGTCATGGGGGATTCCCAACTGAACATATCCATGGTTTCAATTTTGGATGAAACATGCAGGTATCCCTATTGCAGGAATTCCCGATAGTGTTTCTGACATATCTGTTGGTCCAATTTTTTAGGGTAGCCTGATTTCTTTGGGCGATCACAAGTCTACGATACTCTAAGACGCGCCTCAGCAATTTGATGTGGTCGTTGAATGCATAAGTTTTCCTGAGGAAATCTTCCATTGGTTTATATGGGGTATTGCAAGTTTCGGATATACACTACAAGTTTCTCTTGACCAAAGGATCAAACAGTTACATAGTTATCCATAGTTCATAAATGAATAAATACACATATATCATATATATATATATAATTATATATCTATGTTTTCATGTGTATAATTATATATGCACATAGGAGCCGAAGAAACCTGCTTCCAGGGAAAACGAACCGGAAGTAGAAGGAAAGAAAAAAAGAGCCATGAGGGGCCAGCCAAAGAAGTTGAAAGCTTACGGTCTTATGGATAGATAGACATATGGATATGTATATATATATATACATACATATATGTATACCCATAGTATTTTTTTAACTCCGCTACGCTGAGTGTTGCATTTCAAAAGAGGCAGCCAAGTCCAACTACTTTGAGGCTTTGAGGGCTTGTTGCACCGAAACGTGTAGAACTCACACTTTCAGTTCAGAGTTGACACAGTCATTTCCTTTCCAGATTGTTCAGAAAACCTGCTGCAATTTCCATCCTGCTTGACAGTTCTTAACCTGTTTTTTTTCATAGTGGGCCATCTCCACTGTGCAGGTTTCAAGGTGGCTGGAGGTTGGTTCTAACTAGTTCGTCAATTCTGCATGCCGCATGCCAACATGGCAAAACTGTAGTTTGGTAGTTGATGTGCGGTAGAGTGAGTGGTACAGAGTATCTAGAGGCACATGAACTGAATTCAGCAGCCAGCTTGTATGTGTGTGCTACGTGCTGTAGCAAGTAAAGCGGCTCAAATTTGGCATTGCTAGTGCCAACAAAGGGAAACCCAATGGTCCAGGACCGTTCCTGTGACCTGCCAGTAGTGGGTTGTGGGAGCCGCCATTCACAGAGGCAAGGTATATTATATGTGCTATTGATTGTGTTGCTCGCATTGAGCAGTTGTTGTGACTGCTTTTTTTTTTCTGCTGCTAGGTGTTGCCCAGTGGACAGCAAAAACCAGATGCGATGTCAAAAGGTCTTACCAGCTGACCTTCCAAAAAAATGCTGCGGGTGCTTGCAGGCCACCTTAAAACCTGCACAGTGGAGGTGGCCCACTTTGAAAAAAACCACCATCGAAATCCAAACTGACAACGACGATGACGACCTTACACAGTGGAAGGACGAGGACATCAAGAACGACGACCATAACAGTGTTCGATCCCTGGGCTGTCAGTGGGGTGTAAAGGGAATGCCAAGTGCGCTGTCATGTGCATGCATCATGAAGGATTGTAAACCATGCTGTTACTGCCGCCGGGTGACATATGCCAAGGTTTGTGTTGCGTCAGGGGTGTTCAGTAGTGTTCTCAGTCGTTGGCAAGAATGGTGTGCTCCATTTTTGTTTGCTTCGCGGGTTGCAAGTGCAGCGCACACCATGGTTCTAGTTGAAAACGAAATGAAAACGATGTTGGGTATGACGCATTCCCCTCTGAGATGCTTGTGCCGTACGGGGGCTGGTATGCGAAGCGATGTGAGGCAATGCACTTATGACACTATCGAATTATATGATTCGTCAGTTGGTTTGGCAGACAACGGCAAGCACAACCAAAACAATGCCCGACACATGCCGGAACCCATATCCAGCCAAAAACGGCAATGCACCAGCAATTTAAAACAAGACGAGTCCAGCCCCGATGCTCGCAACAGTACTGCTTTTACACCAGGTCAGGTAAAGGCTAACTGCAAGAATCTTTCAAAGGATGTGCGCGGCAAAAACAAGGTCATGAGTTTGCTGTGGCAAGTAGCTGTCCCATGCCGCAGGGTAGGGGGCCGACGCATGGGCCAACCGAGGTGCAACCAGCTAACAAATTGGAAGGGAAGGCAAAGGAAAAGCAATGCAAGCCTCAGATGTCGGTTGTTGAGGCGAAAAGTGCATGCAAGTGTAACCACAACAGATGGAGACACCCACGCGCTTCCTTATGCAGTGAGGTCGGCGGATAAGATACAAGCAAGGCCAGCAAAACACAATGCAAGGCTGAGATGTCGGTTGTTGAGGCGAAAAGTGCATGCAAGTGTAACCGCAACAGATGGAGACACCCACGCGCTTCCTAATGCAGTGAGGTCGGCGGATAAGATACAAGCAAGGCCAGCAAAACACAATGCAAGGCTGAGATGTCAGTTGTTGAAGCGAAAAGTGCATGCAAGTGTAACCACAACAGATGGAGACACCCACGCGCTTCCTTATGCAGTGAGGTCGGCGGATAAGATACAAGCAAGGCCAGCAAAACACAATGCAAGGCTGAGATGTCAGTTGTTGAAGCGAAAAGTGCATGCAAGTGTAACCACAACAGATGGAGACACCCACGCGCTTCCTTATGCAGTGAGGTCGGCGGATAAGATACAAGCAAGGCCAGCAAAACACAATGCAAGGCTGAGATGTCAGTTGTTGAAGCGAAAAGTGCATGCAAGTGTAACCACAACAGATGGAGACACCCACGCGCTTCCTTATGCAGTGAGGTCGGCGGATAAGATACAAGCAAGGCCAGCAAAACACAATGCAAGGCTGAGATGTCAGTTGTTGAAGCGAAAAGTGCATGCAAGTGTAACCACAACAGATGGAGACACCCACGCGCTTCCTTATGCAGTGAGGTCGGCGGATAAGATACAAGCAAGGCCAGCAAAACACAATGCAAGGCTGGGATGTCGGTTGTTGAGGCGAAAAGTGCATGCAAGTGTAACCACAACAGATGGAGACACCCACGCGCTTCCTTATGCAGTGAGGTCGGCGGATAAGATACAAGCAAGGCCAGCAAAACACAATGCAAGGCTGAGATGTCAGTTGTTGAGGCGAAAAGTGCATGCAAGTGTAGCCACAACAGATGGAGACACCCACGCGCTTCCTTATGCAG